TGAGCCACCGCGCCCGGCCTAACAATTAATTTTTACTGAGGTGAGCCAGCAAAAAGATTTTGGCAAAAAGAAAAGGAAAATAAAAACATTCCAAGTGCATCTGGTGCAGGTCAAGTGGCCTGGTGTATGGTGAGGAGTATATTAATAGAAAATAGTTTGCAACTAGTTTGTGAAAATCATGCTAAGAAAACAGGATAGTAATCAGTAGAGGTCAAAGATTCATCAAGGATCTTTAAGCAAAGTATCATCATGATCAGGTCTATGTTGAAGAAGTAATTTAAGGTAGATGTGAAGAAGATGGGTGAGTCAGGAGGCAACTGACCAGAATAGGGATGGGGACTGTCTGAGGACAAAGAGGTACAGGGAGAAAGACTTAAAGACATTTCAGGGCTTACTGACTTGTGAGATTCAGATTACACTGGAAGGAGGAGCAAAGATGCTGAAATTTCTAGCATGTGGATGGGGATGCATTCTATTAACTAAAACAGGGGCAGGTTTTGGAGGGAACCTGAGGAGGAGTCTGTCAGTGTTAGTTGAGGGATTACTTTATTTCAGCTTAGAGCTGAGTGTACAAAGATGAATTAGTCCCTTCCCTGATGAAGTCTACAACATAGTATTAAGCAAGAAGAATGTCATTAACTAAAAAAGTAAAGAAGCCTTTAAAACAGACGTTGACAAAATGATTGAAGGTACGGTGACTGGAGTATGAAAAGCAGTATTGTGGGAACTAGAATAGTAGGAAGGATTTTACTCTACGATCACCATAAGACAACCACCAATACCCAGATTTCTAGGAGTTCTAGGCAACGTGCTATACTAGGGTATTGCCTACTGTACTTGCAAAGGCATTTCATAACCCATGTTTTCAAGCAGGATGGTTGAAGCAAGAATACTAATTGGGAAAAGTAGAAACCTGGTTTAGATATTTAAGAGTTACTTAGAATTAAAGAATTTTAGAGTTGGAAGGCAGTTAGACTCAAGGTATTTTAGATCATATTCCTAGTAAGTTTCCAGTCGACACATTGAAAGCAATGTTTGTTCCTCTCATAAGGCAACAGTAGGTACTTTTGACTAAGGATAGAACACAGGCTGAGATCAGATGAGTTTAGAATATCTTAATTTCTTCAGGGCTTACGTTATAGCATTTAAGAAGAAAATGATAGATCTGTCTTTTTAGGACTTCCTTTAAAGATACCATTTTATGAACACTAAATAGGGTTACCAGGTTTATCAAATGAAAATATAATACCCATTCAATTTAAATTTCAGATAAATCATTTGTTTTATTACAAGTATGTCCTTTGTAATATTTGGGACACACTTATACTAAAACATTATTTGTTGTTTATCTGAAATTGGAATTGAATTGAGCATCCTGTATTTTATCTGGCAATGCTAATACCAAAAGATTAACAAATGGCAGCAAAGC